AGCATTATGAATGATTTTAGCATAAAAATTAGATTTGTAAAAGGAAAGTTTGTCAATTTCTGACTTTAGTTGATATTATATATACATATGTATGTATGTATATATGTATGTATGTATGAAAGTATGTATGTTATGAAAGTGTGGAATCGAGATAATTGTGTAAAAAACATGATCATAGGGGGTAGGAATTCACTTAGGATATGTGAGGATGTGTGTATGTGGAGATGTGAGTGAAAAAATCTATATAGTCAGGCTAGCACCATAAGATATTTAGTGCAGCATTATATGGCCTAAAACCATAGGTAGTCCAGTACAACATTATATTGGAATTGTTACCATGGGATATCGGGATAGTCTAGCAACTCCTTAGTGCACGTTAGGGTGTAGTTAGGAGTCAACGATACCTTTATCATAAGTATGTGATAAGGGAAATCATAGTCTGTAAGTAGAATAAATTACTTTTGGTCTGGTATTTTTACCAACGAAAGTGTGCTCGGGTCAATGAGAGATTGATTCAGTAAAGCCTATAGTTTTATATCGAGAAGCATTGGAGATTCGGTGGTTAGATGATCATGTTAGTGTATTATTTATATGGAAATGTTTTGAAAAGATGAAATTCCTACATAGTATGATATATAATTCTTATTACTCTAGTTTTGTTACTTTGGCATGGTTATCTGTGGTAATAGATATTAAATAAATTATATTGGTTGCTGATATTTTGATTTCACTCGTGGCTATTTATATTTTTTCAAGTTTTGGTGATAGTGATGCGAAAGGAAAGGAACCAGATCGAGAATAGAGATTTCTCAATTAAGCCTTGTAAGAATCAATGTAATGAATTTATATACAAGTAATAGTTGTGTGTATAAGTTGTAACATCCTAAAAATTTTAAGACTCAAATTTATTTAAAAAAAAATAAATAAAAATAAAATAAAATATCTATAATTAAATTAAAATTTAGAATAATTTAATAGAAGCCCAGAGTTTGAATTTTACTAAACAAAATTTTTGTTTTATTTGATTTTTAACTATGGGAAAAATTACCAAAGTTGACCCAGGCTTTTGTGCAATAATAAAAAATGTTGGGCCATTTCTTGTAATTTTCCCCAAACTTTTAGATCAGCTTTTATAAGAGGAAAACCAAACCAGAAACGCAGAAAAGAAAACAAGGAAAGAAAGGAAACACGTGAGAGAGAGAGAGGGGAAGAAGAAAGGAGAAAGAAAGGGAGTTAGGCTCGGATTTAGGAGTCTTTGCGACCGTTGCGAGCTCGGCTACACGATAGGTAAACTCCCTACTTCAATCCTCTTCTCTTTCTCTTGATTTTCTTCAATTTTTGGAAGAGAAGATTTTTGAATTTTGATCCCAAAGGCTTTATTCTTATAAGCTTTTGTTTCTTTGGATCCTAGGGAGCATGTTTTGAGTTTCTATATAGTGATCTAATGTTTTGAGTGGATAATTGGATGAAAAGAGGTGTTTTGGGCACAAAATAACCTTGAGAAATTGGGTTTTTGCTCTTCAATGGTTTAAGCTTATTGATTTAGTTATAATTTTGCTATTTGAGCCCAATAAGATTTAAATTAAGGTTTGGTTTTCATTATAAGAGCTAATAGTGAAAGTTGGTGACACTAAGTGAAGGTTTTTAATTGATAAAAAATTATATAAATTGAAAATTAGCCTAGTGATGGCTAATAAATGGTTTTGATGGTTAAGTGATACTATGTGAATGGTTGGTTTAATATATGGACCATTAGGGTGGATTATGACTCATAGACCTAAGTTGTGTGGTATGAGTTATAGTCTTCATTAATGCTATTTGTCATGATAAGTGATGTGGATCACTTATATGTTGTAGAAAATTGTTGGTGGAACTTATTGAGAAGTAAGGAACAAGCCGAGCCCTATTTTGTACAAGGAGAACCCTTTTGGTACCAAAGGGTTGAGGTAACAGGGGAATTTATATTTCTTATTACTTTGTTTTAGCTATTTTTGAATAAATATTACTAGTTATCATGCATTACATGTTTTAAAAGATTAAATGTGCTTTATAAGGGGTTATGGAATACTACTTTGATTATAGTGCAAATATGTTTTCTAATTGTTTAATAACAATGTTTTTATGGAAATGAGATTTATAAATATTATACTACTTTAGAGTGTTGAATGGTCAATACTCAGGAAAAGTAGACAAGAGTAAAAGGCATGATCTCGGTGGGAGTTCACCAATGAGAAGGTGTGGATTTTTAATATTCTATGGCACACTGTCAGTACTTAGTGTTGTCTTACGTATTGTGGGCTCAGTGCACTAAAGTGGTTAGTGTATTGAGTGTTCGACACCTCTCAGTGGGGGAGAGAATCCGACATATGAAGTGTGAGGTTGAGTGCTTAGGCCAAGGTAGCCCTCACATGGAGAGTAAGTCGGGCTAGCTCTGGGAGGGAGTTAGCTTTGACTGCTCAGGATTTACGTCGAAGGGGCATAGGCGGTTCGGTGGATTAGATCATGCCTTAGATTATGTTTTGTGCCTGTGGAGGTACAAGTAGGTATAAGGTTTACCTGTGAGTTAAAGAGTGCCAGGGGGCATTCTGTTGGTCATAAAAGGCCATACCGGCCTAGGTCATGCATTCATACATTTTAAATGGCTAAATTATATACTATGTTGAATTTATTATTCATTTATTTGATTATGGCTTACTTTGTAATAATCAATGTAGATTTCTCTGTTACTGAGACTGTGGTTGTCTCACCCCTTTCTTTTCAATATTTCCAGGTCCAGGTGAAGGATCCAGTGGTGGACGGGGAAAGGAGCAAAGCTAGAGGTTTGCTTGTGATTTGTAAAGAACTGCAACCCCTTTCTTTTGAGCAAATATATTGTAATGTATTTAAGATTAGGGTGCCAGTAGGATATGATTACGTATGTGTATGTGAATATGTGTGGATTGTGTGCTTGTGTATGAATTTTTGTCTGTTTGCAGACTTGTGGCTAGGAAACTTGGTTATGGTGTGTGGTTTTAATGGATTTACTTAGTAGACCAAGTTTCTATTACAAGCAGATTTTTATTTTGATATATATGTGATTTTATAAGCAAATGTAAAGTGGTTGCATTGCAAATGGTGTGCTATGGGCAAACATACACTTTGGATAGAGAGAGTGGGTGCGTGGGCCCCACAAAGAGCTCTGAGCCAAGTGAAAATGTTTAGCATATGTATTTATATAAATACATGGTATTTAGATTGATTTGTGACCACCCTTGTATGATTTGTGCATTTTGGGGGTTTATGGTCCATTTTAGGAAATGGCACCCAGGTGGTCAAATTTTGATGTACGGGGGTTTTCCATCATTTGAATGTTCTATCAGGTGTTTTTAATCTTATTTGACGTGTCCAAAGTGTTCCCACAGGTTTGTGACCATTAGGATGAGATTTGGACAATTTTGAAAATGGTTTTTACCAAAAAGCTGCACTTTTGCATCTGAGTGTCCAAATCTTAATCCGATCGTTGGATTTCTCTAAAATTTAGGTCACAAGTAAAACCTTTTATAAGCTTCATGTGGGATTTGGAATCACATCGATCGGATATCGGACGAAGAAACGACGCACTCCAGAATTTGGTCTGGAGGTGCTATCATGACAGCATTAAATTGCTGTCATGATAGCTACAGTAGTTATATTGTAACCTACATAAAATTCAATCCGTCCGTTGGATCTTTTTAAAATTTGGTATGCTAATAGTATTCTTAAAAAGTGACATGTGGGCTTTGAAATCACTCCGATCAGAGGTCGGATGATGAAATGGTGCACTCCGAAAGTTGGTCCGGAAGTGCTGTCATGACAGCTTTTCATGCTGTCATGACAGCAAAATTGACTAAATTTGTAACATGTCTAATTTTTAATCTGACCGTTGGATCTTTTTAAAATTTAGTACACTTATAGTACCCTTTGAATGTGACTTGTGAGCTTTAAAATTTCTTCGATCGGAGATCGGAAGGCGGAACGGCGCCTCCTAGAAGTTGAACCGGGAGGGTTGTCATGACAGCAATTTAATGCTGTCATGACAGCATATTTTTACCCTTCTTTTGTCTAACTTGCTTCCGTGCGCTATAGGTAGAACCTATAATTTTTTTTAAGGTTTTAAATGTTTACTTTGCAATCGTATATTTGCTTAGTGATTTAAATGGTTTGTTTCCTAAGTTGGTTTTAGGATTAACTCCTTAACCACACTTAGTTTATTTGACTTGTGTGATTTTTGGATAACACTCGGGGCAAGTGTTACATAAGTTATCATGGAAATCAATACTTGTGCATAACATGTGAGTGTATATTTTTATGTGTGTGTGTGATTTTAAAATCATAGCCCCTTTGTGTGTTTATGTGTATAAATGGTGTGAATGTCCATGCGAGCTAGTGATTGAATGTATGTGGTTATGGCTTGTAATATGTGAGATATATATGTGAAACATGGCCTTGTATGAGATTGAGAATGAAAAATGAAATTTTTTCTCAAAAGTATGTAACGTGCAGTTTATAAGCCAATTGTATATCTGTGTATTATATTGTATATATAATTGATAAATCAGATGTATATTACCTATTTGGACGTGCTCAAAGCCTTAAAAGTGACCAATGACATATGGTTTAGATTGGGGATGCTCAAGTGGCAATTTTTGACTTATATTTTTTAATATATATATATATATATGTATGTTTGTATGCATGCATGTATATATAAATAATACATTGCAAAAAGAATTGCTAGATAGTAGATTTTAATTTACGGTGACAAATTCTAAAACAAAGTAAATTATCATTTAAATTTTAATTTATACAACATACCAAATTTAAAGTACATTAAAATAAATATTTTTTAATTTTTCAAATACATCTAGATTTAAGTGTTAAAAATGGAATTTTCCCGTCAAATTTTGGGCACGAGAAGGGATTTAGCAACCGAATCTACCGACCCGTCTTGTCAAGTACTCCGATACCAGTATCCTCCTGCCTCAATTCCTCACCTAACCCATTGGTCTTCTTCATCCATCCTCCACAAAAAGGGCCAACCACGATCAACATGTTACCTTCCTCACCAACCCTCCAGGAGACTCCGCCTTGTTTCCTTTCATTTCTGTGCTCAACTCTAAGCTAAGCCTATGGCATCCACCGCCAATCATTTCGCTCTTTCTCTCTCTTCCAAGCGAACAACGAGCTCTACAGCCTCAAAACTCAATACCAGTTTCTCTCACCTCCATTGCTTTCAAAGTTCCAAATTCCTGTCTCCGAGATATTCTGTCGAATTGAACAGGAAATGGGTTTCTGTGTCGAGCATGGGTCAAGATAGGAGCCTAAGGGTATGCGCCAATTCGGCTCAAGTTATGGATCAGTTTGCTACAAAGACGGAGCCTGGTGTTCCCACGATCGTTGAGGTCGACCTGGGCAATCGGAGCTATCCGATTTATATCGGTTCGGGGCTGCTTGATAAACCTGAGCTTCTCCAGAGGTATGTCTAATAAGAACACCGAACTTTAAATTTCATTTCAGTCACGACCCATGTGTATAACGTTGCCGTTTTGTAGACCGAATTCTAGTTTATCCGTACGGAGGATCGGTTGGGCTTTCTGTGTACCAAAATGATAGAAAGCTGTACGGACAAAATGAGGAATTTTGTGTGCATCTTTAATGTATTTTTAAAAGCGATTATTTTCCATTTTCTGAGGTGTTATGTTAAGATGTTCTTAGAAGTTAATGCTTATCCAATAGGCATGTTCATGGAAAGAGGGTCCTTGTGGTCACTAATAATACCATTGCACCATTGTATCTGGACAAAGTTGTTGATGCTCTAACAAGAGGAAACCCAAATGTTTCCGTTGAGAATGTCATTTTGCCAGATGGTGAGCAGTACAAAGATATGGTAGGTCTATTATGTTTAGATTGGGGATTGTGTAATCTTCTCCCTAGGCCCGAGCATGAAAAGTGGTTACCTGTTTAACTGCTAGGACACTCTAATGAAAGTGTTTGACAAGGCCATTGAGTCAAGGTTGGACCGGCGATGCACATTTGTAGCTCTTGGAGGTGGTGTAATTGGTGACATGTGTGGCTTTGCAGCTGCTGCTTTCCTGCGCGGTGTTAACTTTATTCAGATTCCAACAACTGTTATGGCTCAGGTCTAGCATCACATCTAAAATATTCGTGTTTATGTCACCCAGATTTCTGCTTGCCCTCTTTTATTTGATGTTGATTTTTCTGATCTCAGCATCTTATTTCTTTTGCATTGGTCTGTGCATAATTTTCTAGGTTGATTCTTCAGTTGGTGGCAAGACTGGGATAAACCATCCTCTTGGAAAGAACCTGATTGGTGCTTTCTACCAACCTCAGTGTGTGCTTATAGACACAGACACATTAAATACATTACCAGATAGGGAACTGGCATCAGGGTTTGCTGAAGTTATAAAGTACGGGCTCATCAGGGATGCAAAATTTTTTGAGTGGCAGGAGAAAAATATGGAGGCATTGATGGCGAGGTAAATTCATCATCTAAGTATTGTTATAAGCTTGCAGTCTCCAGTATTTGTTCCTTTTATGCCATGAAGCTTGCACCGCAAGGCAATAACATCTCCTGGGTTATGAGTTATGACAGCTAGTCTTGTGGAAATTAGGCTTAAATATGTAGACTTTGAAGGAACTTTTTGCTATGATTGCCCTAGCATAGAAGAATTACACACGTTAAATGTATTAATGGAATTAATCAAGAGCCATGAATTAGTGCAGTCATAAAAATTTACAGCAGAAGGAGTAACAGAAAAGGAAATTTCCAATAGTTGGATTGGAGAGGAAGAACAACATCAGAGAAGAAGCATTCACTAAACTCTTCACACCTCTAAACACTAACCTTCACACTCTTTTGGCTGCATCTCGTCAGCTCTCTCTTTTGGCCCGAGTCACATGGGTCTTGTATCTTTACACTATTATCCCTTTCTTGAGCTGTATTGCTTTTTGTTACTTCAATAAACTCATATACCCTCTTCCAGTCTTCCTGTTCATAAAATCTAATATCCGATGCAGGGACCCAAGTGCACTGGCATATGCTATAAAGCGATCATGTGAAAACAAGGCTGAGGTTGTGTCCTTGGATGAGAAGGAAAGTGGACTGAGGGCCACATTGAACTTGGGCCATACATTTGGCCATGTGAGTGCTTTCATTTCACTTGTGATTGTTTTTGTTTCAGATTTCCAAACAGTTGAGTTGGTGCTGTCAATATCATCTATAGGCTAATTCATTGAGCTGACATGAATTATTTTCATCTTTATTATATATATATATATTTTTTGTGAATCAAAGTATGAAGTTGTACAAATAATCAAATGTGAAGGATTGAAGACAATATCAGAGGCATGGATCATTTTTATAAACTAAGAGAAGAATGGAGGCTGGGGTCTGTGGTGGGGAAGTAGAATTCAAGATGGTGTACAAGCTTATATTAGCATTTTCCCCTTCAGCATATATTGCTTTACATTTAATATGCACTTTTAAGAATAGAAATGAAAGAATCTTACCTGTTTATTTTGTTATGGGGGTAGCCTCTGGTGTTTAATTCATGAACGATGCCCTTTCTCATGCTAAAATGACACGTGTTGTTTTAAATACTATGTTTTCCCTCTTGGGAGACATTGTATTGAAACTTGCTAATATTAACATTTCCTCTTTAACTCTACCCTGGGCCAAAAAAAAAAAAAGGTATTTCTGAAATTTTCTGTTCTACATTTCTTAAATTTAACGTTATGATAGTCTTGTGAGTATGTGTTTGTTTGCTGCTTCAGATTTGTGTTATCATATTTGTCCACACAAATTTTCTGTGCGTGATCTTATCAGGATAAGTTCTCCAACTGATTAAATACTCCTTCACGTGGCTGTTATTTTAGGCAATAGAAACTTCAGTTGGCTATGGACAGTGGCTTCATGGAGAGGCTGTTGCAGCTGGCATGGTACTTGACTCTCACAGTTGTTTTTTATTCTCATATTTTTGGGCAGATGAGCTTCTTGTTACGTCAGGATCTTTATTGACGAACGTTGTATGTCAATGAACACAGGTAATGGCTGTTGATTTATCACATCGCCTTGGTTGGATTGATGGTTCTATTGTGCAGCGAGTTCATGCCATTCTTAAGCAGGCAAACCTACCTACAACCCCTCCTGAAAATATGACCGTGGATATGTTCAAGTCAGTAATGGCGGTAAGAGGCTGTCGTTTCATTCTTTTGATTTGAAAAGTAAAATTAAAAACTTCTATTTGTCTGTGTGATGATCAAGGCTTAATTGTTTCGTTCTATCAGGTAGATAAGAAGGTAGCCGATGGGTTGCTAAGGCTTATCCTTCTAAGGGGTCCTCTAGGCAATTGTGTTTTTACTGGGGATTATGACAGAAAAGCCCTTGACGATACACTATGCAAATTCTGTAAATCTTGATCTTATGCCTGGAGCCTGGTTCTTTATGTTCCAGTTTCATGCAATTCTTGAGCAAGTGTAGCGTGCTTTTCTTCATGTAATCCTTATGTCATTCGTGGTGCATTGGCAAAGTCTTTCCCTATGTTGTAATATTAGAAATTAAGGCATGGTCAATGACTACTATTTGAGTAGATCAAATTCTTTTGTTTCTCCGAGAGTTTTGAGCACCTGATTCTATTTATCGTTTCTCAGCAAGCCTTGTCCTATTTATTAAGGCCGGCTTCATAAGTCTGTAAGATATCATCATACTATTGGGCTTTATCAACAATAAACTGTTTAAAAATACCGTTTACCCTAAGATCTTGTTACGTGACTTCCTATAAACTACAATGTTTTTCTTGATGTCTCTTTACATTTTGTCAATTGTCATGACTATAAATCATCTATTCAATAATCCATTTAGGGTTATCCGTGTTGGAAACTTTGAATGGTGAGAAAATAATTGTCTTATTGTGAAATAATTGAGAGAATTTGATTGATTAAACATAACCAATGGCGGTTGGGTCAAGGAGTCAGTACCCAATGTGTTAGGTCATGCGTTTAAATTTTGTGAATTGAAAAAATCACTCTAAAAGAAATACTGGAGTTCGGCTCAATGTATTGCTTAAATTCGAATTAGTTAGTAGCATCCAATATCAAATAAAAAGCTAAAATATAGTTTTTCTTGATAATCATGTCTATTTTTTGAGTGAGTATGCTTTTGAAAATTGTAAAGCGTCAATTTATACACGAACAGAATAACAGTCAGTAGAAGGATTTTTTTTTATACAACCATAATATATAATTATTTTGTATATTTGGAAACTCTCAGATATAAAACTTGTTGACTATGGAGGCAGATAGATGGCTGCACCTGCTGCTGTTTATCAAGCTTTATGACCGAGGAAAATTATGAATGATTTGAAGTTTAAGCAAGAAGCTGTTAAGAGATTTTGTGTGATAGCAAGTCTGCTGTTGCAATGGTTAAAATCCAGTGTTTTCATGGAAAAAGTAGACACATTAAAATCAAATATCATGCCATTAGAGAAGCTGAAAAGGAACGTGAAGTGCTGTTGCATTGTTCAACAGAAGAACAAGCTGCTGATATTTTTAACAAAGGACTACAGTAGTACTAGAAATGATTTCAGGAACTTAGAGACAAGCTTGGAGTTGTGCGTAGCTCTTCTACCAAGGAGGAGTGATGAAGATTGCTTGCTGAACTGATACAAATCTATGCACCAGATTGTGTTTCTTTTGTTATTTTGAATATTTTGCAATATTTAATTGTTGATGTACCGGTAACTTGAATGAATGCTTAATCGAACAAGTTTCCTTAAATTATGGTCATTTCTTATTGATCCATATCTTTTTGCATCTATATAGATATATTTCTGATGTAATGAAATTGTATTCCCATTTTTTATCCTCTATCTTCTTCTTTGTTAATGATACAGATAAAAATTTCTCACAAATTTAGGAAAAATCTGATTTTTCAAGTGAAACTAAATGAAACTTGAAAGTTTGTTTGACACTTGTCATTCATTTCTAAGAATCTCATGCAGATATCAGCATTATGAACTGAATGTGCACAACACAATTTCAAAATTTCTACCCACAAACACAGACACATTCATCTTAGGTCAAACGGATGACACTCTTTTTTCTTTTCCTGAGACAATGGCTTTAATATGTCTGTTTAGTTATGTACCTGGTCATAGAATCAGATGGACATATTTCAAAGAAGAAAGAATTCTTCTCTGATATGTTGCTTCCGAAGCAAAAGCAAACATGTCGTGTTGTGCTAAACTGCTTTCGTATCAGAAAACTCCCATGTCGTCTACTTTCGTATTATCATCATAGTTGAGACCTTTCCAATGTGACACATCGCTGTTTCTTTCCTTCTCTGTTCAGTATATAGGATCTTTCTCAGATTAGTATATTAGAGAGGAAAGAAATGAGTTCTTTCCTGCTCCGTATATCCCAGTCATCATTGTTATCATGTTTGCTATATTGCAAGGAAGTGAGTCCTTTTCTTTGGTATAACACTGTTGGATCTTCTTCTGTTTAGTATGTGTGCTTAGTATAGAGTTTGAATCATTCTCTATTCGGTTTATATCAGAGTGAGGCTGTACTTATAATAATTTCCCCCCCTTCGTTTGCTTGCCCTACCTGACTCTATTGAGATCTGTTTTGATTGAAAAACTCAAGCAAATGGATATGGGCAGAGAAGTGCACTTTCTTTTAAGCACAAAGCAATGGCAAATATTTGTTTACAAAAGGCAGACATCTAAACATCATACAGTATTTTGGTCAAAATATCCAACCAAAAAAAAAAAAAAGGGTGAGTGAGAGAGATAACATGTGAGAAGCATTGAAGGCTGCAGAGAAGTCCCACATCGACCAGCAAATAGAAGCGTGACCTCTCTCCCCACTATATAAAACCACGCATGAGCAAGTCTTCAAGCACGGAGCCGTGCGGTGAGCACAGAGCGAACTATTCTTTCGCCTTTTACTAAAGAATACCGTGTGCTCGCCGTACAAAGCGGCATACGCCTATTTTTGGAGAGGGGTTTTCCTTTTGGAAGTCTCTTGCAATTCGTAGTTCAAAAATTATACGTTAATGTAGTTTTCTGGGTTGTGGTGTTCGTCTTGTTAGGAGAAGTAGCTTTTCCAGTTTTATATCTGGTATACGGGTCACAGATTTAAGTTGAATTGGAAGATTCTTTTTGATGTATTTTATTGCCTTCAAATATCAGCGATGCTTTTCATGTTTCCAATTTTTTTTTTTTATGATCAAACAAAAGTTGATAAATGTTCAGGAAGATGTCATAAAGCTGAAGGTTTTTTTTATGTTTTAAAATTACCAGTGGAGAGAGAATTTTAGGTATATAGAGATTATTAATCTTGTTCTTATTTATAGGCACTTCATTAAATTCAACTTCACATCTTTCAACTCTTATTAAATATTAAAAAAATTATTAAAAATAGTTCTTATTTTTAAGAATGAAAACTTATTAAATAGACAGTTAAGCGAGTTTAATGTTTTTTTAATTTGTTAAAAGTAATTTAGAAATAAGATTAGAAGAAATAATAATCAAGTGAAATATAGTAAAAATAATTTATAAATAAGATTAGAAAAAATAATAATCAAGTGTGTAGATTTAAAATTATATTAAATGAAGAAAATTTTTTAAAAATTATATTTTTATTTTTAAAAATAAATTCGTAAAGTGTTGCTATTAAATTTTATTGACGTGATCTTATCTTAAATTATAATAATTATAATTTAAAACGATGGGATTATTTAAGAGAAGATGAGTCAATTTCTGCTCGGTGTATATTACCAGGTAGTGAATTCCTCTCCATTCGAAGACTGTTTCTTATTTCATTTCTTCTCCATTCAGTTCACTTGTTCTTTCACCCTTGAATTTTCTCTGTGTTGTCATGTCACTGAAATCTGTTTCGAATGGAAAACTCAAGCTACATGGATATGTTCTTATATAAATTCTTCTTAATTTTAGTTCTTTTTTAAATTGATTTGATTGTGAAATAAAATATCATAGTATATGTATTGTAAATCTTGGAAGAATTCAATCAGAGTCTACATTCAGATAAGAATCATCTCTCCTTATTTTAAACTTTGTACAACTATAAAAGAATTAATTTTTTGCTTAATTAAAAGATTATGCATTGCTACGCCACACAAAAGAGAAAGGAACAAAACATAGGACACTTATTTGGCTTGTCCAACGCAATCAAATATGCTAGCAACGGATGTTCCCCTGGAAAAAGGAACAGAACACAGTAATAAGACGGCTAATCACTTGGAGGCCAATGCTAGTAAAGGATATGCACTCTTTTGAGTAGGCGGAAACACCGACACTTGCCAGAGACCCCTCTCAGAGGATGGATGTGGGATCAGGCATTGGTTGATCTTCGATTATTGGCAACCTTTTAATTTGATTGAGTTTTAGTTTCTGCTTCTGTTTTTGTTCGTCTTTATTCTGGTTTTCTTTTTGAACGATTGTAGTTCTGCTTAATGTTTTTGAATGAAGTATTCGGTTGACCCAAAAATTTAAAAAAAAAAAAATTCGCACACTAGTAGGCTTCCAGGTAGATGTAAAAAAGTTTGATGTTTCAATCTACCAAAGTCACGAGCATTCTAATATCCTCCATTGTATTTTCTCAGGTATCAAAATTTCAAATTCAGTGGAAATAAATTCAGTAGAAATAAAATGCTAAGATTTCCCGTATTTGTTCATAATGAAAACTCTTAAGAAAAGTGATATTGACATCCATAGATTCAAAAGGCTTTAAAATTGACAAGCATGTTAAGAATCACCTCGAAGCGTTGTATGATTAAAGTATGACTGATATTTTTTTAAAAATGGTTACTCATGTAGTATGAAATTAAAACTTGCCTCTTCGGTATTACGAGGGTTCTTTCACTTAAAAGCAATAATAAATTCAGAACATTCTTGTAACATTGACAAATGTATCTCAATTTTAATGAGCATGAATGATCCTTATGTTGCTTAAGAAAGATTGTAATTTAGTTTCCAAGATTTCATAGGTTCGGTCCTCGAGCACGCATCCAAAGTTTCACTTCGTACACATCTTTGAAGCTGTACGAAGCTCGCTAGACACTTGTCATTCAGTTCTGACCACCTCGTGCAGATATCATCATATTAAGGAACATATAAAAAGGCCCACATCGGGGAATGTTAAGAAACCTCAACTATCTCTCCACTATATAAAGCGACGCGTGTTGGCTTTCAAGTTACGGAGCCGTGCGGTGAGCACAGAGCGAACTATTCTTTCGCCTTTTACTAAAGAATACCGTGTGCTCGCCGCCTGAAGCGACATACGCCAATTTTTGGCGAGGGTCTTCTCTCGGGAGGATCCTCACAACACAAAGTTCAAAAATTTGGTATTATTTGTGCGGCGGTGGTGTTCGGCAGGAGTATAGGATGCGTAACAAATATTATGTTGTCTTATCTACGGAGTAGTATAAGCTTTATGTTTTAATTGTTCTTTTAGGGACATAATGGTGAATGAAAAAAATATCCATTTTTATTATTTTTTTATTCTCAAAATATATTTTATAAAATGTTAATTCTTAAAATAATAAAATAAAAACAGTTTTCAATATGTCCCTAATTTTTTTTTTGAGAGTCAAAGTGAGAGAGTCTTTTATCATGGATCTTTCTTTTTATTTATTGTAAAGGAGTAAATACATTTCTGCGAAGATAATTTTTAAAAAAATTTATATTAAAATATAAGATAATTTAAAAAATAAAATTTTATTAATAATAATTTTCAATATTACTCGAAAAGTGAGAAGTAAAATGATAGTTTTTCTGGCCTCCTCTGTTTCTCTAAGATTCCAGTAAAACATATTTGGATTTCCTTTCGTTTTCGGGCAAATAAAATCCATTTGAATTGAAAAAATGAATTAACATGTACATGTATGAAGGAATGCTTTCTTGGAATAGATGTAGCACAGCACAATACAGAACAAAGAACTTGAGACATGAAAGTAATCAGGGAATCTGAAACTGAAAATATGAACATTTTCTCTCTGTCTATACTAAAGTAAATTGTCTGAAAAGCACAACACAATATGAACAAGATTGCCACTTTTTCTTTACAAAGGACTTACAAGATACACAAAAAGAAAATCAAAGTGCTGGAAAACTAAATCTGGACTGTGGGACTGAGATTAGCAGCTGCAGAGTTTAAGGACGTCTTCAAACCTATTTCTGATCTGATGATCCACCACAACACTTTTAGTGTTATCATAACCAGGTTTCAAGACCTGATTGTCTAATTTAATAGCCCACCATTTTTGTGTCACAGAGCTTGAGCCTTGTGGTGCCGAGACGGAGACAGAAGAAGGGTTGTGGGTTTTGCCGTGATGGCAGAGAAGGAGCATTGCTGCTGTGGGCGCCATTAACAAGAAGCTGAAGCTGAAGCTGAAGCGAAAAGTGTGGGTGTGATGAGGATGACTGTGTCACAGACATTTTCAATTTGTAGTTAGTGAGAGAGAGAAGAAAGGAATGAATCGTTAATCATTTTGGCCAAAACAGTGGATCACTCTGTGGGCGTTGAACGTTGATTTCGATGGGTTTTTTTTTTTTTTGCCCCATCATTCGAGAAGGGTCAAATCCTGGGTGTTTTTTTATCTTCATAAATTTTGTATAAATTTAAATAATTTTTTTTAGAAGAAACCTATTTCTGAAATCTATAAATATATTCATCTTAGATTAAAAAAAAAATTATCCGGCTCATAGTGAGTCCTAATCAAGGCAAAACTTACACGTGATTATATGACTCCAATATCCAGTTTCAAAAAATAAATGCAAATATTTATTGATCATTGATGAATCAAAGAGTAAGTTAAAAAAAGGCTTGGGGAGGCGCACCAAACCGAGAGAGTCGTTGGTTTTAGAAGATGCAAAACCAGAAGAGCATTAAATCGAAAGCCGCTGATTCGGTTAATGTTTTCCGCCCCTGCCTTGCCTTTGGAGCGGCGGGGAGCGCCAACCATCTCTTCGACAACTCCACTAACAATTATATTATTATACCTTCAACTTTCAAATATTTCAAAAAACCAAATCAAATTGAATGATCGGATCATCGACTGATCTAGATTTTAGCTCAATCAATATAAAAAAGCCATTTAGAGGGTTCGGCTGCTTTGGACCAGAAGTCGAATCAAGTTTAAACTGAAAACCGAATCTAATTTTTAAAAATTGAATTGTTCAAAAAATATCATTTTTTATCAATTTTTTTAAAATGATTAATTTTTAAATCATTTGATATTATGTTATATCATGTAACTTATTAAATCATGATAAATTTAAAATATTTAATTTTATTTTTAAATTAAATAGTAATTTTATATTTATTAGTTATATTAAATTATTACATATGTATATAATTTTTTGAATTTAATTATTACATTATTAATTCGACCATTAGTCTAATCAAATTGAATTATACAAATTATGAATCGTTAACCTTTTCAATTCAATATCTAATTCGGTTCTAAAAACATTGATTATAAGGCTTTTTTTTTACTAACAATAACTCAGTAAATGTTTAATTATCCTTTATAATCATATGAAAAAAAAGAAATAAAAAAATGAAAACAAATGATTTATTTACAAAGAAGGACTGGACATATGATCAAAGCTTAGGGCTTATATATCCTATGATGAGGATCAAAATTCATATAGTTCAAAATATTATTATTTATTTTTAAATTCTTTTAATTAATTTCTTTATTGAAAAGATTGATATTTTGGGTTATACTACTATATTTATTTGTTTTAAATAACAATGTGTTCCAAGGATGTGCCTTTGGGTCAGAGAAAATTAATTAGTATTGAAACTTGTGGTGATTTAATATCCTCACATTCCATTGATTGATACTTTAAGTGTATACAATGATTTAATATTACTCATGGCAAATCCTAAAAGAATAAAAAAAACTTTCAAGAATAATTTTTTATAAAATATTTTGAAAAGGAAATTTTCATAGATATTTTTAGAGATCCACAGTGACTTAATATCACTCATGACATAACCTAAAATATACCAATACATTTATTATTTTTACCTATGTAGTGTTATTCACGGCGTCTCATTTGATATTTTTTAGAAATCCACAGTAATTTAATATTATTTATTACATGACCTAAAATATGTTAAACAATTCATTATTTTCAAGAGAATTTCATTTATTTGATGATTGCAATGATACTAACGTTACGTCAAAATATCTACGTTGATTTAACAGCACTCACAAAAATCAATAAAATAATTTAAAAATCATGCTTTGTCTTCTTTTATTATTGACAATACAATGAAGTTGGATGAGATCTAAGAAAAAGCAATTGTATTTCCATCCTATTAATGTACATCACGTAAATGCATAGGTATGCTCATCATGATATATTATAATCAATGGCCACCAAAGGTTAAAAGCAAAGTGATCTCAATGTCAATCAATAAGAGTCTACCACAAAGATAGATCCAAAAGCAATAGCGGTCAAGCATGTGGCCGGCCACTTTCAGAATTTTATTTTAAAATAATCATAATAAATTTTAAAATAATCATAACAAAGAAACAAATCATACACAAGATGCAAGACCTATGTCAGCTCCACACACAATGAATTCGCATGCTATAACAAAATTTGCAGCCTTACTTGCACTCAAACATAATCATTTCTTGTTGAAAGAAGAAAAAAGTGGTGGCTAATCATTGGAGATGAAATGTCCGCAGATGGGACAAATGAACAAGAATTAATACATGCATGATGACAACAACATACCTAAGGACTGTTACATGCTTCGCTCCATTGTGCCTTCTTCGCCTTTTCACTCCAAATTCTAATTTTCCGGTCAATTTTTTACCGTCCTCCTGTCGTGGCCTCTTTGCTATCCCTTTTTATGAAGACTCAATTAAGATTTTTCTCTCATTAATAATCCAATCAATTATAATCATATTAAATCATTAATAATTTTCATTTGACTTCTGTTTTAATAATTTCAAATTCAAATTATAACATTCAATTTGATGGGACCATAATTGTGAGGATTTGAAGGCTACAAAAAACCAAAAAAAAAAAAACAAAAGGAAAAATTCCTTTTAACTTATGGAAATATTATTTTATTATTTTATTTTTTTTACAAAATCCTTTTTTTCCTCATTTATTTTATTTACTTAATTTATTTAATTTTATTGAGTTTTTTATTTATGTTTAATTTATATATGAAAACCCGAACAAAATATAGTGTTTACACTCATGAAAGCTGCTAAACATCACATACCAATGCAATGATACATTATAATATTGAATCTCAGAATGCTCCTGTTCCTTTAACACAACACAACAAAAAAGCGTGTAAGTGTTAAAAGAATAAAACGAATGCTATTTACAGTTGAATGGTGGACGTATAAACAGTTAGAATCAACATTGTTGGTGATGAGGAACAGGAGGAGCAGATGCTGATATATCTTCACTATGATTATTCTCTTCAAGCAATGGAGTGGTGTTTGATTTTTGCGCTTCACCATCTTCATTAAATCTATCAACGCTACGCAAAAATACACCTGCCACCACCACAACATTAATGATGATGAATCACAAAACGGGCAAGTCAGAAATCAAAGCTCAAGCTCAGAATTAGCTTTAAATCTAAGAATTTGTACTCCCTCTGATCCTATTTATGAGCCATTTCTATCAATCTCATTAATACCAATACAACAAAAGTACAAAGAATAAAAATTAATAAAATTCTAAACATAACCCTCAAAAAGTGAATAAACTATATAATATTATCGTTCTATTTCTCTCTCTTACTTTTTAAGGATAGTTTAACATTTCATTTGAAGCAAAACATCACTATTAATCCAGTGACTTATAAACCGAACCATTTCACCGTTCTAAAAGATAACCAATAAAGTGAACCGGAAGGAGTATAGTGTATCAATACTTTAGAGTCAAGATAAGCTGATTTGGATATATCCAAGAAAAAATGATAACCTCCTCTATTCTTCAAGGTTAGCCTGAACTTGACTTCTAGAAAGACCCATGTTATATATTGTTAGTGATGATAATAAATTGCTCCCTTTGGTCATAAATGTAAAAGCTAAATAATTAATTCACATAGATTAAGGAAATTAGTTAAGTTAGTTGTTTATTAAAAAAAAAAAAGCATGTTGGTTTTCCTAAAATATCCCTCCTTTGAAGTATTTACATTGGGCACAATCCCTATTGATTCCATACATGATGTGTATGCGTGCAGTCAATACGGGTAATTTAGGAAAAAATAAATATGACAAACAAATAAGATTGAGGTTTTACATTTCGAATCAAAACAAACTCTTCAACTAGCTCCTATGTTTAGACTAGAGGGAGCATTAATGAGCTTTCACTTAATATGTTCAGCTTTCAAGTTGAATTGGCCTTTCATAGAATACCTAGCAAAGCTTCTACACCACAAAAAGGTTTAACAACTCAACCCTAGTGGATCCAATTCTTCATTACTAGAATGAAGATGAAGATTCACCGCAAGACAAGTAGAAGAGTGATCTTCACCCCCCCCCCAAAAAAAAGGAAAAAAAAAAAGGAAAATTACACCCAAGTCCCATATAACACTTTTAGATATCACAAAATTCATTGACAACTTTCGTCATTCTCCTTTGCTAAGTTGATAATGGACCTTGTAGTATTTAAAAGTGTTGCGGGGGGCCTCAAAGTAATTCTCCCAAAAAAAAAAAAACAACAAAGGAAATGAACAGGAATATAATGATTCACCTATAAACCAAATTCCAGCTGCCGGGAATAGGATAGCAGTTAGAGTCAGTGCCGTGGTTCTCCAGTTGTTAACATGATCCTGCAAAATCCGTTACGTTGACGTCAGAACTATTGTACATCACCTTAATTATCAGATATAGGTGGGCAATCAAAAAATTATCATCATCAGATGTAAATATCATTTTAGAAGAATGACCTGGAAAACTCCAACAAGTGGCGAAGATGGCACGTCTCCGAAGATATGGATGGCAACAGTGGACATTGCCATTGATAGAGGCCTCAAACTTGGTTGAACACAATGAAGACATATATAATTCACAGGACCCTGAAAGGGAGCAGCAAGAAGGTAAGTTCACAGTACACTGACCTTCTGGATTGAAACATTTTTTCAAGTGATCAATATTTCAGGCAAGAAAATCATTTCTAATAATCACATGCGACCTTGGCTCTCATATGAGCTTGTGCTATAGCAGTGTTATCTACCTTTTGGGGAATGCGTGTAGAAACAATAACAAGAATATTTTTAATGGAACATGTTGCACAATTCCTAGAGAGATAGTTCACTAATAGACTGGGGGATAAATAATTTGACTCATTCACATCCAGATCATATGTTTGAAATTCATATTATGGAAGTAGGCATTGCTTTTTCTAATTTGAATGGAAGGGTGACATAAATAGAAAACTAGTCTTTTTCTGGCATCATATTCATAGTTAGCACATCCATCATAGTTAGAAGCTCCAACTCTGTATCAAGGTCATAGTGGATATCATCATTATCATCAATAAAAAATCCCTTAGGCTTGTTATCCAGGAACTTATTCAGAAATACAGTAATGAAAGGAACATAGGTGTTTATTATCGCTAAGTATTTGACAAAATAGGATCATCCAGCTCCTATGGAACCTATCACTAAAATATTCCTAGGGGGGCATAGGGCTAAGCCGAGCAAAATCCATGAGATGGGAAATGAAAACTATTAGTCCCACAAGGGGTTTGTCAAAAAAGCTGGTCAAGATGTAGTAACTCAATTCCAATCAAAACTGATCTTTCAAGGATGATATAATTCATTGACCCAAAAAGGAATAATATTATTCTGTAACTCAATGCCTTAATCTTAAGAATTGGAAATACTACTCCGTATGCTACTTTTGAAGATAAATGAGAGAAAATTTGTCCTGAAACACGCGGAACGAACTTCAAGTTACGGCAGATGAATTAAAACAAACAAATATGACCATCCATACAACAGGACCAGGTAGCTAGAGTAAGTTTGACTCCATCTCTATCATGTCCAGGTCATCCTTTCATGATAAAACCTAAACATAATAACTCGCCAAGGATCTATCTTGGGAAATTCAAGACCAAAAGCTAACTAACAGAGGAATACAAGGACGTAACTGGTTAAGTAAATTTAATGGAACCACCAAACAAGGAGAGATCTTTCACACATCAAGAAGAAAAGTACCTGAGTGGCAAAAACAAGTAGTTCACCGATGGCAAAAAGAACAAGGAAGCCATACATGTTTCTAAATAAGAATGCACCAAAACAAAATGCTGCCCCAATAGCCGTCGTCAATGAAAGAAGCTGAAAAAGATTCAAGGTGTTCAATAAGCCAGAGCAATTGAATGCAAAAAAATATGCTAACTAGAGAAGGTATGCATACGACAAACAGTTTTTCTTGCCCAAGCCTGGTCCGTCCATACAATACAATATTTTTAAATTATAACTGCTATATACAAGCTAATTAAACAAAAACTACTGCCATTATGCTAAAAACTTTTTGCTGGTTCACATGCCTCAACTAAAATCTCGGTTACTGTAACCAAGAACAGCTATACTCGCAGCATGAAAATGTACCGTTGCCATCTGGAACAAAAGCTTTTGACTGTAGGAGAGGCATGACCAATATTTATAACCAATCAAATCCAATTCGAAGGTTATAGGTAATTCTAATATGAGAGAACTTAACCATAGTTTTTTATATTTTTGTCATCATGTTCTCAAATAAAAGAATGAAAAATATATTATTTTTAAGTACTCAGTATATGATTTGGTGGTTTGAAAAAAAAAATTACATATATTTTTGTTGAACAGCCTGACAGCAAAAATTAGAGGAATTATGTCTAATCTAGGTTTGTAATAAGTAATCAGTAGATGTTGTCAAAAGAAACAAACCAAATAGCAGTTTAAAGATGAAAAATCAGCTATCTAACGTATCTTAGAGCTTGTTTGTATTAACGTTTGCAGAACTACAGTTTGTACAAACTACAATTTGTAAACCCAAGTTGAGTTAAATGTCAATTTTCATAATGTAATTTATGTTCAAATACCTTTTTGTAAAAAGTTAATTAGATAAACTGAAACTTGTTTGGATGATATAATAAAAAAGCACGTTCAGATTCATAATAACTGAAAAGGACATAAGTTGTATGCTCCCCCTCTCTCTCACCCCCACATATAAAAGTAAGTGTGCAATTTGATAACTTTAAGAAAAAATATTAAAATTATAATTATAAAAAATAAGGGAAAACATATTTGCAAGTCCTTATAGTTTCATTCAATTTTAAATTAGGTCCCTGCAATTTATTTTATTTTAATTGAGCCCTTATAGTTTAACCAATTAAATTTTTTAATCCCTAAAAGTTAAAATCCTTATATTTTTCCTTTAAAAAAACAAAATTAAGAACTTTTATATTTTTATTGAATGATTATATATGATTTTAGAATTAATTACATAATTTTTATAACTCAAATTTATATGATTATGTTGTCTTCTAAATATTTTTTATATATGTAGTATTTTCACTAAAAAAATTATAATAAAAATATAAAAAGTGGATTAAATCAAATTTTCCTTTTTCAATTTTGGCTATTAAATTTTCAGCAAACTCTAAGAGTACTTTTGTTTTATAAAATTGGGAAAATGACAGAGAGCTCCCACAAGAACTAATTAATTCAAGTTAGATCTCAAATGTCAAATTTTAGGAATTTGTAATTCAATCTCTCAATTTTACAACTCTGCTATGATGAATTTGTAACTTTTATTCTAAATTTTAACAGAAAAAATAATTTTTTTATTTTTTAATCATGTTAAAATTTGAAAAATAAGTTGCAAATTCATCACAATGCAATTGCAAAATTGAGAGAATGAGTTGCAAATTTCTAGAGTTTAACATTTAAAACCTAACTTGAATTAATTGATCCTTTTAGAACCTTTTTGTCATTCTGCCTACAAAATTTAATAATTCATTATTAATTTTAACCTTCAGGATCAATATATATAATAGATAAAACTATAAGAGCTTGATTAAAACAAAATAAATTGCAAGAATTTAATTTAAAATTGAGTGAAACTGTAAAGACCTGCAAGTATATTTTCTCTAAAACTAAAAAGAGTTAGTATATTATTGTAGAAAACATTTTTAAATACTAAAAAAATTAATTAGATCTACTTGAGGAAAAATATACCTAAATTACAAAAAATAAAAATATTAAATTTCTAAATTATAAAGATATCAATTTTCAAAAAGAAATGAAAGGATAAAAATAGGTTGTTCAATAATTTTAAAATGCATTAAATGTAACTAATGTAAAAGTTTCAAAATCTAGCATTTGGCCTAACTATAGTTGGGAAAGAAAAGCTCATTTGCCAACCATCCTCACCCAACCATATTTTTTACTCCTAACTAGCTTCTAAGCCAACAAATTATAGTTTGAGCCAACTAAATGAAATCCCAAACAAGCACTTAGTCTTCAATGCTTCAACCACACAGGTAAAAATAGTACTCTGGACAACTCAAAAACATGCGTAAAAGTAATGCCAGAAAGAAATTTCTCTCTTAACTAGGAATGCCAATTACCAACCTTGAATGCATTTGATATGGTGTTAGTCATGTAATCAAGAATAAAGCCTCCAGCTAATGCGCCCAATATTCCACATACAATTGTGATTCCTCCAAATATCATATCGGCATCAGTCTGCCAAACAAATTGGACTTTAACAATGGGATAATATTACCATGTTCTACCCAGAAAGAGTGTTGATTTGCCAGGTGTAAACTTTATTTCATAAAATTAAAATGATATAAAAGAGACAGAACAAAAATGTCATCATAATTAGATGTATATGAGGTCATCAGGGGAAGCAAGAAACTCACCATGTTATATATATAATAACCAGCTTTGGGTCCCCAATATGAGTAAGCACCTATGACAAAGTTGTATGCAATGTAACCTGCAAGTTGACATTCATAACAACAGGGAATTAAATAAAGAGACTGATAAGATGCCAGTTAAATAGAGAAAAATAAAGAAGATAAATCTTTGTTAAAATATGAAATTAGAATCTAAAGATAAATCTTTGTTAAAATATGAAATTAGAATCTAACTTTATAAATTAATAAAGATAAAGGAAAACCTTTAATAGAAGATGAGCTAGAATCTTAAACCCATACAACTAATTAAGCCAAAAGAGAATCTCCACTTATAAAAATAATGATTTTATTTCCAGATGCTTTTTACATGATATGTGCCTCAATATTTATAGACAGAAAAATACCTAATAATTCCTAAAAACACTCCTATTAATCCATAACTAAGATAATGGGGAATAATTCCCTGAAAATAAATAAATAAATAAATATAAATTCTAACTTAATCTCCAAGTACCATAAACCACTACTCCTAAACTTAAGGATCACTCAACAAACAGAAAAACGATCTAAAAAATATTATTAAACAGATAACATCTAAAATAACTTGAAAATAATAATTGTTCCTAATTTCTCTAACTCCCCCACATCACTCATGATCCCACATCACTCGGTACTCTATCAGAGACATAATGAAAGAACATATATATATGACAGAGACGCATTCATTGTATCTTCAGCAGTTTCTGAGATAGATGTACCAATAGAAAAGTGAATCTAAGCACCCGATGAATACAGAATATCAGTTAGGAAGAAGTACCTAAAACATTAATGACATAAACCTTATTAAGCAAAAGTGCTTTCATGTCTTTCATAAATATTGAGATTTGATTCCATATATTGCTAGCTGATTTTGACCTGAAATAAGATAATAACTGATTGATTAAAATGCTTATATACATCAAAAACAATGTCAGACAGTGAAAGATACAAACACATTAATTAGAAAGAGGAATCAGATTAATCTGCTCAGTAGGAAGGAAACAGTCTTATGCCTGGCCACAGTTTACAAATACCTATGCAGGAATAAATGCCCTCAAAGCACATTAGGCATCACAAAAACTCATCAACCATTTGGAAAAATAAAAAAGGCACTCGATTAATTAAATATAAGTGTTACCACTTGGATGGTTCATGTGAGCTTTTATCTTCAACCCTTGACTTCAAGGACAAGTCAGCTTTGCCATTTGAAGACTCTGTATCTTCACATCAAATAAGTGGATTTTGTTAAGACCAAAAAGAAATTTGCACCATAACAACCAATAAAAAAGAACCTAATTTCTCCAGCTTCTTGAGAGAAGATTTACTAAGGATCTCTCGATAAAATTTCTTAACAGAAACTTCAATAATACAAATTTACAGTACATACGCCTAGCCATTGCTAATAGTGAGTGATGGAGATTGTTCTGTTCTCTCAATCTAGACAATGCAATGGGTACTTGAACAAAAAAGGGAGATATTGTCATCAGATATATTATACCTTAATTTATAATAATATTTACCTTGAGCTTTTAACGCAACTGTCTCAGGCGCCACAGCCTTTTTTGATTCAGAAGGAACAAAACCTGGATTTATAACTAGTTTAGAGCTGAACAATACTAATAGGATCAGAAACATTAATGCAAGACAAATGTGCACCTTTCATCTGCAAAGGCTTCATAGAGAATCCCATAATAACAAATGGAATCATCAATACAGACTCCACCCAGAATGCATAACGCCACCCAAAATGAGTTCCAATCTGTTTATTGATAAACAGATGCAGTTATTGAAAGGCCACACAAAAGATAATCATGAGATGGCAAATAACCAAGGAAAAAAAGAGAGCAAGAAAAAAAAAATTGCCTACAGCAAGAATATGTAAATTGAGATTTCAGGTAAGAAAGTCGGAAAACTTACAAAACCACCAAAGACATAGCCAAGTGCATATCCTGCCGGTATACACATGTAAAATATTGCAAGCCATGCTGTTTTCTGACACATACAACAGTATAAAAACAGATTTCCATAAGATTAGAAAATAGACAGTGATTACAATAACATTAGAATAGATACTTCTTAGAATGGAAAAGAGGACAACAGATATAAACATTTTAATAGTCATTATGTAGTCATTTATTTCCTAGTATAAATAAATTTGGTCCTTTACACTCTATTCTCTGGTATTTCCATGACCAACTCTTTTTCTCCCATATCTCTAGCTTTCTCCTCTCTCAATTTTCAGAGCATATTATAACCCTACGCCCAAGATCACCTATGTCCTAGGAAACTGAAAATCTTGCTATCTTTTAAAAACAATGCCTTTGCCCACGAAAGACAACCAACTGAGACCACTAAATGCTTTAAGGATTGCACGAACTAATTTAACGTAACAAGTCTAAGATATTAACGTAAAGCATAATTGAACAAACAAAAGAAACATCACAGTTGGCAAGTTAATTAATTAGAGTAAATTACAACTGGAACAAAGATTGCAAAGAATAAAGCTATTTCAATTTAAAAAGAAAAAACAAAAATGCCCTCTACTAAACCATTCAATCATACATGGTATTCATACATATTTTTTTCAATGGGAGACGAGTATTATATTAAAAAAAATTTAAGTTGGACTAAAGAGTGTATTTTAAAATATAGACAAAATTTATGTGTTTAGCAAAACTCAGACAAAGTTTGTGTAATTACGATAAGTGACAACACATGCATATATCATACTTGGGGGTGGAGCTGTAACCCACCCAAAAGTCACAAAGTCATTGTGTCTGAGTTCAAATGAATGAAAGCCATGCAGGCTGGATAATGAGAAAAAGCAAATAACAAACAACAGAGATTTTACGCATCCAAAAAAGTAAATGCTTAAAAGGGAAAACAGAAAACCTGAGCAACTGGGGCATTGTCATCAATAAAAGGAGCTGCAAGACTTATAAATGATGCCTCACCAACACCAACTAGCCTATACAGAACAACAAAATCATAAGGAACAAATATTAGCCAATTCCTAGATTGGATCCTTTAAGAAAAAGTAATCCGACAGACAAAGAACAAAACAAGAAACCTTAGACAGTTTCCTCTTTTTTACGAGCTCAAATTTAATGACAAGAACAGATAACATTAAAAATTAGGAGATTATAATACTTACATGCGACAGAGTGTAATGAACCAAAAACTAAAAGCAAAACCGCAACCCATAGTTGCAAGAGTCCAAACTGTCAACCCAACTCCAATGAGTCTAAATGGATTTACACTGCACAATAAAAGAAACGTGCAAGAATTCATTGGTAGGAAGTTAATGATAGAAATTGTAAATCTGATCGAAGGTGTGTTCTACAATATCTACATGGAAGGAAAAAAGTTAAAATTAATTTCTTCAATTCTTATTGTCCGCTAAACATGGAACTTCGACCTACTTGGCAAAGGTCAAATAAATTCATACCAACTCCAATGTTAGCGAATTAGTTGATGGTGCAAAGAATTATAATATATGGACCCATAAAATTAAAGTTGTGTTTTGCTTTGAAACAATTTAAAGTCATACCCAAGAAGATTGGGCCAACTACACTTGCGCATCAAAAGGATAAATGATCTCAAGTAAGATAGGTCAATGGCGGTCTCAAAGCCTATTCAGATTTCGGAAGATTCATTCATGGGCAAAGTATCTTCTGAAGCTTAATTAAATTCAATACACAGACAAAATCAAGCTAGGGAAACCACCTACTGAAAAATAAATAAAGATTATTAGTGAAACAAACAGGATAGATATATTATCAGATGCCACCATGCTCAATTGAATGCAAGTAGACATATATATCATGCCATGTACAAGATGATAGAGAAGGTTCAATATTGAAATATATATATCATGCCCATAACAAGGTTTCGGAAGATTCATTCATGGACTGCCATATATATCATGCCCATATACATTAATCCCATAACAAGGTTCAATATTGAAATAGCTTGTCTCACCTATAAAAGCATCATAGCAAGCATAGATTTACAATTAGTATATGATAGAGAAGACTTACCACTTAGCTAGTGACGCAAATATTGGAGAAGCCACAAGAAGTCCAACCATAAAAGCGGACGATAGAACTCCATCTTCAAAATTGTTCAAGTTAAATTTCCCCCTACATGAGAAAACCGTAAGTGAGACAATGACTAATATTCCTAAAAATTCAGTGATGCATAAGACAATACAATATGATACCAAATCTTATTTCCAAAATCTTATTAGTATCCCTGCCAAGGATAACAAAACTTGATAGCCTGAACAAGCAAAAAAAGCAAGATCAAAATAAAAAAAAAAAAAACAAGCATCGCCAACCACACCAGGAAGAAGAAATTAAACTAATCAACAGTACAAGATGATAAGAAGTGTCAAAAAAATAAATATCTTACTGTATTCCAGTACCAGCCGTGCAGCTACCACCTTTCCTGCAAGTTCCTTGAGTTCCATTAACTCCATTGCTTGCTATTGCTCCTCGGTCCAGATAGTTTAACAAGTTAATCAAGCAAAATATAACAAGTAGCCTGCAGGAAAATATATAAGAGCTTAAGGTGTTGAATTTACAATGAATAATATTTGTTTTTGAAATCCTGCTTAATTTGACAGTCGAAGAATATTAACCATATTATTTTTTCTTGACAAAATTCAAAAAGAAACGAGGGAAACATATCACAGATGTTCATATCAGCAAGAATGAATGTCTAATGATTTTACATATCGGCTGTCATGTTACCACTAATGTGAAAGGCAGTTGCCCTCAACCAGTCGGGACCAGCAATTAGCCAACATGGTGAATGTAATTTATCAACGTGAAATGTTAATTTATTGCATTTTCTTATGTTGCAGAAACGAAAACTTCATGTTTGGCACATGAGCTGTTCAATTTCCCAACATGAGCCCATCTATTTAGAATTTGTATGTTGTACTTAAATAAAATGGGAATACTAATTGCTTCATGCACATATCATATATTATAATCTTTTTGTAAATTGTTCTTAAAACAATTAGGAAATCATTGCCCATGCACAAAATGCCAACTAAAAGAATATAGCCTGGCTTGATCAAGATCGACTCTCCTCTGAACTTTCCGTGAAAGGATAGTGGTCAAAAGATTCCCCCAAAACGCATTATACACACAAAAGCACACAATCATCGAACTTGAAACGAAGAAAAAAATCTTGAACCACCCAAAAAAAAAAAATCAAAAAGGACAGGCACAGAAGGAATCCGCCAAAAGAAACGTCAACACTAAACGACAACTCAATATACGTCGTTTACAACCCGCCAGAGGGAGAGGGGAGGAAGGATTTCACCAGATCTCAAGTTAGTATTCAACACGAAAAATAGCAACGATTCTCAAAGACACCCAGAATTCCCCTGCTCCACCCACATTTTTCCCTCCCAGATTTGGGAACAAGAATGCGGGAAAATGGGTCAAGAATTACCTCTTTGGGGTAAACCATGAAGTTGTCGGGATCATTGATGAAGAGGCTTTCGTCAAATGTGCCTCCACAGCAGGCTGAGACTCTGTCACCGCCACCCCAGTAGATTCAGGCTCAGATGAAGAAGGTTCAGGCTTCCGGTCCCCACAATTTTCCATCGCAATATATTATACACTTTATGCGACGACGCTTTAATCTTGACTGAGGTAAAAACGAATTGAATTGAATGGTCGTTGAAGTTGAATGGAAGGAAGACAAGAGGCTTGCTTTTTCCTTATGGAGCCGAACTCGTCAGCTTCTCTTCGTACTATCAACGCTTTTATATAAAAATTTTGCTTTTTTCCCTATTCCTTGTAGAAATAGGATTAGAATTTGGACAATAGTAGTAGTGGCAGTGATCAGCGATAATGATAAAAGTAAGATTTATTGTTGAGTAAACAAAACAATACGGATATGCGCACTGGCTGCGTAGAGCGGTGAGGATCGCGATGATGGAGGGAAACCCGTGCTAATTATTAAAGTCTTTTTCTTAAATTTAGTTAGGAAGTGGCCCCAACAAAAAAAAAAAAAATTGTTAGAAGTTAAGATCCGTGTAACTCTCTACTTTTTGAAAGTTTGGCCAAAAAATATGATTTAAATTGGAATTTAAATTCTGTCTTAATCCTTGCACAGAAAAAATCCCCTCTTAATCCCATTATCACCAAAAACTTCTATTGTAATTTTTTTTACTATACAAGTTATGTCCTTAATTTTCATAAATATGGTTGAACAAAATTATACTTCTTCCATTAAAAAATATAAATTAATCATGCCATTATAAAAAGTTACTTATTTTTAAACTAACACTATCTTCTCATATTTACCTTTATTTAATAAAATAATTTATTTTAAAATAAATCTAAAATAATTTATTTATTAGAGGCACTTTTTAAAAAAAGACAATAATTAAACTTTGAAACATTAAAATGCCTTATATTTTTTTAATGGAGGGAATAATCATTTTCTCTTACTATTCAAATATTTACATTTTCTAAATTAAAATATTAATTAAATTATATTAAAAATATATCTTAAAATTTAGTTAACTCTATTTTTAAAAAAATATACATGAAAATTAAGTTAACATATATTTAATACCCTCCTCCTTTCAAATTATAAGACAAATTTGGAGGAATTTCGTTGTCTCAAAATATAATAGAATGTGAAAAAAGTAAGATTTCATTAATAATATTTTTTTAATATTACCTTTGAAATAGAAAGAGGATTGAGATGATATTGTGACATAATCATTATAATTTTGAAAGCATGCAAGAGCATTTTTGAAAATTCATAATTTTATCATTATTATTTTTTATCAATATACCTAACCTTATTTTAAATTATTTTATAATTTGAGACTAAGATACTACTGACCATAGCATATAAATGATATATAAAAATTCAGTTAAATAATAATATAGCTGTATTTTGAAAAATAATATAATTATTTTAATTTGAAATCTGAACGTTTAATGGAAGATAGTGCATATAACAGTTAAATTACAAAAAGATTTTAAAAATAAAATGTAAAGCAAAACTATAAAGAAATATATATATATATATATATCATAATACATGATAGATCTGTCATCAGTGGTTAAAAAAATGAAAAGAATTATATCAGAGATAAGGATAATGAATTATCGATTATCGAATATAAAATAAAAGGGTGAACGTGGAAGATAGAGACCGCATATTACGTTAATAGCAAAAAATAAAAAATAAAACTAAAAAGCAATTTCTGTTAAAGTGAGGCCGAAATTAGTCAAATTATCTTATCTGGCAAAGATTAGAAAGTTTCTTTAAAATCATGGTCAAAGAAATAAAAAGATAGTTTATTCAGACTTTTTTTTAAGGTTGTTTTCTCAATGTAATTTTTTAATATGTTTGTTTAGTTCACGAGTTAACAAAGGCCCAGCAAGGACAGTTCATGAATTAAAATAATACACGGGTTAAGCAGCCAACAAGTTGGATAATTCTTTTAGGTCATTTAAATATTATCACAAATTCTTAATTAATTTTTTTTGAAATGAAAATTTTAATTTATGAATGTTTATCACAGTTGAACATTATTTATTTAATTTTCAACATTCCTTTTGGTCATTTGAAAAAAACTTCCATGTTCTTTTCTACTTTCCAATCCATCTCCTTGAAGACATTAAACATGCAATACTATATTTTGGCCAAAAAAAAAAAAACCATGCATTAATATATTGAATGGAGCAATTTGGGTCCTTCACATTGTGAATACATGATTTAGAAGATTGCTTGAGGAACTGAAATGCTTATGCAACAAGCGTGCTATTGAATGATTGATCAGCAATCATAAATCATAAATCATAAATAGAATATTAATATCTGGCCAAAAAATATATAATATTAATATAATATAATATAATTTCTCTTGAAGTATAAAAGCAGGCATCTCAGCTATTATGGCTGTATCCAACAGGATCGGTTGAATTGGATGCTTCCTGTGCCACTTAAGCAATAATTTGATCTCTCAATTATTATCAGAATTAATTATTTTTACTTCCAAAAAAATGACAAAAACTTGTGGTCATTAAAATTAAAGTTAGCCTACAAAATCATGACAAAAGGTCTAACAAATGATAATGTTGTTAATTTATACTCCCTCCTTCTAAAATTGTAAGTCACTTTTAATTAATTTATACTTTTAATAACTTAATCAATAACATTTAAAATTACACATTTTTGTGTTTAGCTTTATTATAACTAGTTCGTAGGCCGTGAGATGCATGGGGTGTGAAACAAATAAAATATAATTTCCATAAATAGTGATACTTAATACAAATTTAAAATCTAATTAAACGGAAATAATTTTTAAATTAAACTTATTAATGTTTAGAATAAATTTTAAAATGAATATATATAATATAAATTTGGGTACATTAATAACGTCTAAAATATTTAGATTAAAGGAACCTCATAAAAAAAAACTAACATAGCCCACATATTTGAAAATAATATATGAGATTATATTATAATAATAATAATATTGGTGGTGGTGATGGTGGTAAAAATTATAGTAGTTGTAATAGTAATAAAATAAATTACTAATATTTGAAACATTTGGATTCAAAGAAAAATTAAATCTTTGCAAAATGAGGTCATGAAAACACATAATCCAACAATAAATAGGAATAAACAAATTACAAACTACAATTACAAGTTATAATAAAAGGGAATGATATCCCATTCCCTTGCTCTAAATATGTAAAATCATATATAAATTTTGTAAAAAGGTAAAAAATAATTTAAGTAAATAACTATGCTTAATTAACATTCAAGATTTGAATTCTTTGTGAATTAAAAATATATATTTTAATTATTTTAATTTAAAGAAATAATGGGAAGAGGATAAACAAAGAACAAACGAAAATTGACAATTTGGCCTTTGGATATTTCATTAGATGAGCACTAAGAAAACTCAAATGAAGAAAACAAAAGACAAACCTCATGACGCTATCATCATAGAACATGAAAAATTGGAGGTAAGAAAACATATTATCCCAATATGATTCAAAATTGTTAGTCACCACCTAGATCATGGATTGAGGCAAGTTACAGTTAGCCATTCATGTATGGCCTAATTTTCAACTGCATCCATGGGAGGATCAAAAATAAAAAAAAATTATGATTTTAAAATATATTAAGAAAATCATATGTGGGAGTTGGATATAATGAGAAAGAAAAATAAGAATTATGATAATGGAAGATATTGTGAGAGAGAATATTAGAGACAAAATAAAAGAATTAATATAATGATAGAGAAAAATAAGAGATAAGACCTAAGAGGGAGTGATTTCTAACAGTTTCAAAGATATCGTGGTTATTATATTTTAAGAAAATATTTTTTAAAATCATTGCTAATGTGGAAGTTATGATAATGACGGGGATAGTGGGATAGAAGATTAGAGATGAACAAAAATAAAGGAGAGAGAAATAAAAGATAGGGGAAAGTGGTTTTGATTAGTTTTAGAAACAATTGTCATTATTTTTTTAAAAAATATCTTTAAAAATAATTGTAGAGATAATGAAGAGATAAGTGAGAGTGAAGTAATTTTATTTACTTTTGAAATAAACAATAAAATATATATAAAAAATCAAGGACATGTAGCGTGACAAATGTGAGAGTGATATAGTTTTATTTATTTTTTAAAATAAATAGTAAAATATAAAAATATAAAATACACATGACATTACTAGATATAAGCGTGCGGTTCTACTTTTATATAAATAGATAGATATAGATTACTCATCCTTGATTGAGAGTAGTTTTGAAGAAATCTTATTAATTATATTTTAAAAGACCTAACATATCTTACATTTTTAGCATGATATTTCAAAAAAAAAATCTTACAATACTTAATGGAGGATAACTAACTAGTACATACATTGATTTTCATAAACTAAAAATATATAAACATTACAACTTGGAGTCATGAGTTTATATTTAATCTCCCCTGTACATTTATGGCTATAGTCTACAATGTAGAATCAAAATTGAAAATGTAATAACTTAGGAATTTTAAGTAAAATTAAATATATAATAATGTGTTTTAATTGTAGTTATATTAATTTTTAGGACAATCATGATAAGAAGGGAAAGTTGATGTAGTGGAAGCTATGCAAGTAACTCATACACTAGATCTCAAGTTTGAATTTTATGGCGGCCAAACCGAATCACCCTTTCTTCACATCTAAAACATATTTCCTCTTCTTCTTCAATTATTCCAGACTTGAGAGAGAGAGAGAGAGAGAGAGAGAGGTGCTCTGGTTTTGCTTCATTCTTTCATTCTTCTTCTGTGTCTCCACCTCCTTCCTTTCCACTTGCAACTGTTGCCACCATGTTTGTTGCTACTTTGTCTACCATTGATCAATCAACTCATGGCTTCTATTTTGTTTCTTCCTCAATTCTAAATCAGTAAAATCCTTCTCCTTCATTGTTGGTGTGGTTGTATAGGTGAGCTAAGATTTCTTTCTTCCTCTTGCTCATTCTATCAACATTGATATGCTCGTCCTTTCTACATTCAAGGTGACAGTCCCTTTTTCTTCACTATTCAATCCTAGCATTGCCTCCTTCTTCCTTTATTCGTGCGTTGTAGGTCATTTAAGGTGAGAAGCTAATCTCTTATCCTTCTCTTTGAAAAATCTGTGCATTTGAGTGGTTGAAGTGATAGAGTTGAAGCTGAATTTTTGGTTCAATGCTGCCATGTGAAATGTGAAAGATGATGATTTAATTTTCTTAAGTTAAGATTGATTTATTCAATGAAGAAATGGAACTTAAGAAGTTGATTTATTTATTTATTTATATATTAGAGAATTTTGGGAGATGGAATCAAAGAAGAAGAAGTTGGTTTGAGCTTGAAAAATTAATGCATGTAAGGTG